GAGGTTGATAAAACGTTGATAGAGAAAGGCTACTCCGCCGTTAAGGAGGTTGATAAAACGTTGATTGAGAAAGGTTTCTCCGCCGTTAAGGAGGTTGATAAAACGTTGATAGAGAAAGGCTACTCCGCCGTTAAGGAGGTTGATAAAACGTTGATAGAGAAAGGCTACTCCGCCTAGGAGGAGGATCGACGTGCCTTTGGGTACACTTATGAGTGATTGAGTGAAAGCAGTGTGTAAAAGTGTCACCAAGTGGAATCGGCGCACAGAGTGGAAACCTAACGGTGATAACAAAAACTCTGTGGTCTGTTGAAGTACACTAGTGGTGAATTAGGAATTAGGTTCTGACCGGCACGTTGTCCAGTAGGAACACCAAGCAGTAAGAGAATTAAGCGACAAATTGAGAGCGATAGTGGAAGAACACAAAGCGCAGGAACAAAGAATAAAAAGAAAGCCCCCCTTTTTTCTTCACAGCTTTCCTCTAATTGCTGAAGCAGCAGTATGACTGCTTGTGCTTCTTCTCAAAATGCCTCAAAAATGGCTGCTGAGCGTTGAATTTAAAACAAGGAGTGAATAATCAACGACTGGTCTGAAGTTGGAGTGAATAACATTGAAAATTAATAGATCAATGTGTCGTAGATATTTAAATAAATAAGAAACTATAATTTGTCGTTTTTAGCATAGTTTTTGTGGGATGCAGTTACGTCACATTGTGGTTTTCATGAGAAGTTTTGAGAACTGATTGTTACTATTGCATTGCATTGTGAATTTTGTGGTATTTGTCATTAGGTAGTTTTTGCAATATCATTAGTAGACATTAATTGTGTTTATGAAGAAAGAGTAAGTAAACAGGAGGGATCTGTTCATGTTTAAACATGACAGAGGTGCTGCACGAGGCTAAAAGCACACTGTTGGCTAAACACAGAGAGGTGATTGATGAGAGAAGCTTGTGCAGGAGCAGCTGCAGGGCACAGAGAGAGAGAGACAGGAGAAGTAGATGTTTTGAAGAGTTCAGAGAGAGTACAACTTATATAAAGTTAACTACTAGTCTGAAGAATGTTATATTGTTTTGTGAGTAAACATGAAGTAAAAATATATCTACTAGATATAAAAACAACATGCAGCAACCCAGATCAAAGAAAAAATACATAAGAAAGCGTCAGCATCAGCTTTCTTCATAGGAGAAGATGGGGAAGAAAATCAGATTTTCTTTGTGGGACCAGGACAGAGAGAGGCGGGTTTAACAGAGGACGAGGGAATGATAGAGGAACAGGCAGAGGCAGAAACGCAGAAGGCAAATTCCTCTGCTACAGGTGCGGAAAGGAGGGGCACATGGCGAGAGACTGTGAGGAACAGAGACCACAGAACAAAGAAGGGGGACAAAAGGGACAGTACAAAGACGAAAGACATGGCCCCCCCCCCCTTCACATAACCGACATAGTTATGACAACTGACTAGACGTAGAAAAGGAAGAAGAGGACGTCCACACACATCACATTGACCTTTCTGAAGTATTCAGAATAAACAACAAGATAGTACTCCCTGTCTCTATTAAACAACAGCTTATTTGAGTCATGGGCCGTGCCATGTCTCAACAGGAGGGGATGGTGTGGCAATAATAAATATAAATGAACACTTCCATACATACAACTACATTACATTTTCTAAAAACTTTTGTAGAGCCTGTGTAGTATGTTGCAGACACAAGGCTCAAGGCAATGAGCGATCACAGAGAGGAAAGTAGAAACATGCATGAGAATCACACCCACGGCAAAAGGGTTGTCTCCCTTTGAGATCATAACAGGAAGGCAATTCAGACTACCAATCACAGACGAGGTGAGGGAGGAGGATGATGCTGAGGCAGAGACTACATTAGCTGAATGGATGAGCAGACTCTTCAGAAGTAATGAGATAGCTCGAACAAATAACCTGCCAGACATTTCTACTCCCTTACAGGATACTCGAGTGCAGACTGGTGACCAGGTCCTCGTGAAGGTGATTAAGAGGAAGCATTGGCACTGTCCACGGTGGGACGGTCCCTACACGGTACTGCTGACAACACCGACTGCACTAAAAATCGCCGAAAGAACTACATGGATACATCAGAGCCACTGCAAAAAGATAATACCTCTCCAACTTAACGACGGATAAGTGGTGGAAGTCCGGCTACAAAGGGCGGTGTTTCATTAGGAAATACTGGTCTCAACCCCGGTGAAGAAAACAACAGAACCACTATCACAACTAGACTTTGTTGGGAAAGGCGTTGTGTGTAGTGACCCTGCTGGGTCTGACGCTAATGACTATAAAGACACTGTAACCAGCTAGTAATTATGAAAAACAGGAGGGAATGTTAGAGTTTATTGAAGGATAAAAATGTGTTTTCATAAACTGTGTTTTCATAATGTATTCTCATTTGCTGTGTTACAAAATGTGTTGATGGAGGAACAAAGCATAGTCTGTTTAAAATGACACACATACACACACACACAGATTCACATGACTGAGAGACACAAGATCCACACGAACAAATAAGGCGTTGGTCAAGACCACATGATTGTCTCATGTTACTGTATTGTTGAAATAAAAGGACTGCACTGAGAGGAGGCGAGTGGGAGTCGGTTAGAGAGTTGATTCTCCTAGCTGAGAGTTGATTCTCCTAGCAGAGAGTTGGTTCTCCTAGGGGAGAGTTGGTTCTCCTAGCTGAGAGTTGGTTCTCCTAGCTGAGAGTTGATTCTCCTAGCAGAGAGTTGGTTCTCCTAGGGGAGAGTTGGCTCTCCTAGCTGAGAGTTGGTTCTCCTAGGGGAGAGTTGGCTCTCCTAGCTGAGAGTTGGCTCTCCTAGCTGAGAGTTGGTTAGGGAGTGGACATGGCATATGTCACTCGCCGATTCTCCTAGCTGGGAGTTGGTTAAGGAGTTGACATGACATGTCACTCGCTGATTCTCCTTGCAGCAAGTAAACTGGAAACATGAGTCCTGTTATCTTTGTTCACTGGATTCTGGTATTATTGAACCGAGCTGGGGTTTACCCTTACAAAGTAATATAGAAATACCCCACAGTAGCTATTTGACTAATACTGCTAGGTGGACCTGGATTTGGCTGTACATTTCCTGATAGTAACAACAACAAAAATACCAAGCACCTTTTCCTCTTAATCAACACACATACATTGTCAGCTGTTCTAGAGTCACCAGCAAACTTCGCGAAAGTGAGATTAGAGTTTAAAAAACAATTCTGAAGGACCATCGTGGCAGGCATGTGAGAAAGACAAACATTTTCCGAAATGAATGTCCGCGACAGTGCAACCAGCAATTTGTTTGTATTCTAATAATTCGGTCCTTAAACATTGCCAGATATCAATGCAGGACATGTGACTTAAAGGTCCAGTGGTCATAGAGTCTGGAGAGATGTGGTCTACTTTCATCTGTTTGATTTCCCCGTAATACACCTCTTACTACAGCTTTGTTTTTGTCCTCATGTGTTTCTTTACAAGGAAAGCAATATACTGTTTTGAACATGAACCAAGACAAATTCCACTAACATACCCCCTCTCCTTCCTTCCTTAACCCCCTTAAAGTAATAACAGAAAGCACAGAGGCGAGGTATTGTGAATTATTGAGAATGGATTATTGTTGGTGGTGGTTAGGGAACTGGTCAGTCTGTATAGTATACTGTAACATTATATTTTCGCTGGATGGGTATAATAACATGACATTCAAGATTTCGACCCCAAATAATACTTGAATGATATAATACCAATGAATGGAAAAACTCACTGTTACTCTGTGCCATGTAGTTTACTAGTGATTTCAAGGAATGTGAGGGTTGCCAGATAGTGCCAGTCATACAGGTTTCAAAGGGCATGTGCAACCACGACTCAGTCATATTGTGCCGTATGATTTGTACGTGGTTTGAATTCATAATATCCAAATTCTGTTAGCCTCCCCCCTATGTCTAAGACCAGTCTGCTTTGATTTTGTTTGCATGTTGGACTGGGTTGCGTGCTCTGTAATGGATACTCATTTCAGAGAGTATAGTCTCCGGGGTCAGGACAGTCAACTTGGCCTCCTCACATGAAAATCTGCATTCCTTCAAAATGCAAAAAAAACTCCTAAAAATGGCATCAGTTGAAAATAAAAGCATTAATGCTTCTTTGAGGTGTGTGGACGTTAGGAGCAATGCGCTGATGAAACACCTTCCATCATTGTTACTCGCATCTTTGAACCTTTACTCCACTTCTGCTACATCTCAGAGGCAGCTGTTGTTATACTTTCATCAGACAGCTTTGGTTACTTTGCCAATTAGTACACGCAATACAAACATCATGGAATAAGGAAGTACTGCTTTTGTAACTTTACGTTTATTTTGTATCCTTTCTTTATTTTAAGAAGAAATTGAAAAGCAAGACTTCTTGAGAATAAGTACTCAGATCTTGTTCTTGAGTAAAAGTAGTCCGTGACCCAGTTGAGCACCACTGGATTAGAGGACAGGTCTAATGTTGTGAACAAAATTATCAAGTCAAAGTTATTTTATTTATTGTATCTTATGTAGGCCATATTTAATAATGAATCTTGAATTGTGTGTGTGTGTGTGTGTGTGTGTGTGTGTGTGTGTGTGTGTGTGTGTATAAAGTGTTTGCTCTTCCTCCGTAATGTAGCCTCTTCCTTCAGCTTCATTTCCAGAAAACTTGGAATTTGTTTATATATTCTGCACATCTTCAGAATTCATTGTCAGCTTTGTCTTAGGCCTAGCTCAAAAACGTAATTTATATTATTTTGTCTTCATGTGTTGCTTGGTGTAACCCCCCCCCCCCCCCCTTCTGTTTCTGGGTGATGCATTTCATGTCTAAGATCATGTGAGGTCTAACTGGTTTGACAGTCTATCTTTTTGTTCCCTCAGGTGTCCTCAGCTGATATGCCGAGTCATGTGATTTCGGTGGCCAATGCCATTTCACATTTTACACATGGACGGATCATATGACGCTACGCTCCCATTGACGTAAGCAGGAAGAATCGAAAGTATAAATTAACTTTGAGCAGCGTCTGGATTCATTCTGGGTGTTTTGACGGACCGAAGCTACAGTTTCAGACGCTCAATATATCCATTTAATCTCAAAAGCCTCATAGATCTACAGGAATTCCGTTAAGATGTGTTTTCTCGCCATGCCGCTTCCTCTGCTCCTGGTTTCTGCCCTGGTTTTTTGCACAGGTAGGCCTATGTATCGCAGTTTGTATATGAATGCGTTACTGAGCGTGACTGTGTTGTAATGAGGGGTTTCGATATGAAATCCGTTGAATTTCTGCTCCCCGTTAATGCAGTTAAATAACATCGAATCGCTAAAGAAGTGTGGACGAAAAAAGTAATTCTGAGAATGGTTCTCATGCAAATTTAGATTGCATCATTTAAAAAAAAATATTGTGTAATAGAGTCCTCTTCTAACTTCCGCCTTGAGATGGATAGATACTTTATTGATCCCAATTTGGCAAAGCTTGATAAGCAGCAGTGTGTTAAGACTAAAATACAAATAGTAGGCTACCTAAAATACTTAAAAAGTGGAAAACAAATACTTAAAAAGTGGAATTGTGACATTAATTGATTTAAAAACAATACTTCAATAGATAATTTAAGATTCATTCAAACCCCATTTTATTGGATTAGAATGCTCTATTGAAAGCCTATACCTGGTGTGTTTTATTGCTGCCGGGGGAGACTATTGAAACAATTTATCGAGGTTGGAGTGCGATAAACGTGATTTGGCACTCTTTTGGGTGGGAGGGTGTCGAGCTGTTTAGACCCGCCACCGAGACTCAGGGCCGGTTTTACAGATGTCGTGCCTCGGTCTCTCGTAGTGTGTGGTTGCCGCGAGGTGGTGAGCTAGAAATCCAGCCGTGTGTTAAACCGTGTTTGGGTTTCACTTGGTTTCTCAGCCCAGCGGGGGTTCCCGGTGTGTCCTGGTCTGGATGTGCGTCCTCTCCCCTCCATGGTTTAATAATAACGATTGACTATATGTCGATGGCTATATATCTGTCTCTGTGGTTATTAGAAGGTTTTTTTGTTGTTGTATTTTTAAGTACTTAATAATATGGTCTTTAATACTCTGTTACATAAGTAAAAGTATAACCATTGAAATATACTTAAAATGACTTGTTATGCATTATTTCATTTTGTTTTTTATTCACGAGCATTTTAGTATAGTAGTTTGTCAATGTTGAAAAATTTAGGTATACAAAAGTACAGTACAGCATTATACTTAATAATATACTTTTTATTTCATACAGTTCAATTTGGATTGAGACAGGGAAATAATCCAAACCTCACGCGTGGCGTTTCACTGTCAAGGGGAGCGTGTATGTAATTACATTGCAAATACTGACTTGAGCCCCACCACTGCATGGGTTAGCCCTACCATAGATTACCCAACACAAATACTCTGGAGCCGCCACTGATTATGTTTATTTTTGTTATTTGTAGGGCTTTGTCCTAATATTTATTTTTGTTTTAAACTATGTTGAAAGATTAGTTTAATATCATTGTTTTATTTTGCTATGAAATTCTGAATGAAAGGCTGCGCGCGAGACTGGTTTTTCGCTGGGTTGAGTCGTGTGGGTTTTTGAGTGAGATGCGGCACAGCAGCCTGTCAGTTTGCTCTTGCTAGGTTAGTTTGGCTATTATCATTTATATTTATCTGCAACAATGGATATCAGGAAGTGGTTCACGAAAGGAATATGGCAACTCAGCGCCAGATGCACATTAGAAGACATCAGTTACGTTACCAACGAGCTAGCGAGCCAGCCAGGGACAAGGGAGGCTGGCAATGAATTCTATTTTGAAGAGAAATTGACTCTCAAGCCGGCTCTCTCACAAACTCCTGCTCTGTGCGCACACGCTCTCTGCCTTGCTCAATCTCTCTCTCTCTCCCTTTCTCTCCATCGCTCAACCTCACTCCACCTCTCCACCCTGCGTGCTTGCCCAAGTTGGCACAGCGTTACAAATGTGCCACAAAACCAACCAATGGATGTAGCCTATAATAAGACCGTCAGCAGCCTTATGGCAACCTAAAACCCCTCTGTTTCCTTAACAACAATTCACGAGCGCTCCCCCCCCCCCCCCCATGACAAATCTCGAGAGTCTAACAGCCCCCCACCCCTGTCTGCCGTCGGGTCTGATTATAGCCTACTATCTGTTTTATATTTACAAATGACTATGAGTGCTAAAAGGTATGTAGGCTAGTGGAGTCAAAAGTACAATATTTGCCTCTGAAATGTAGTGAAGAAGTCAAAATTAGCATTAAATGGACATTTAAAAAGTAAAAACGTGTCAAAAAGGGTACAATACTTGAGTAAATGTAGTTAGTTACTTTCAATCACTGATGTCATGTGACCCAATGACTCAAAATCAATGCAGAGTTGTATACATGTTGTCAAATGTACTTCATCAGCACTGCTTTTATCATTTTACACTTTATTTTCTAGGAGAAGCCTTGGGGAACATTGTGTCGCTGAAGATCCAAGCCATTGCTGGGGAAACGGTGATTCTGCCCTGCACCATCAGTGTAAAGGTTGATGCTGTCATCCCATCAGTGGAGTGGTCCAAGGAGCATCTGTACCCCACCATCGCCTTCCTGTATCGAGATGGCTGTGAGACCTTCGAGGAGAAGAATCAGACCTTCCAATACAGGACAAATCTCTTCCTGAAGGAACTGAAGAGTGGAAACGCATCGCTGAGGCTTTCCAACGCGCAGCTGTCGGATGCAGGGACATACAAATGCAAGACGATGATTAAGGGTCGACCCCTGGAAGTGGGTTCCATAGAGCTGTCTGTGGGTGAGTCCAGACATGTTGTATCAAAAAAGGTGTATATCTGATGTTCTTTGGTAGAAGGGTGAGGTTTCTGAAACCCTAACCCAACCCCAAAAGTACCATATGACGTCCTATTGGGTCTCAAACCCAATTCCCTCATTTTTCGACGGGAGTTTAAATATGTCGATCAGGAGAAAAAGGGAGATAATCTTATTTGCTGAAACTTTCTGAGCCTCTTAACATACTGGGGACACATTCATGTATAAAAGATATTCAATTTGCATATTAGGTGACCTTTAAGTAAAATGTTGAGGTATACTTGTAACAGAGTATTATTACACTCTGGTATTTCTACTTTGACTCAAGTACAATATCTTCGTACTGCTTCCTGCTCCGCTCACAGGCCTAATTGTTTATACAGAACATGTTCAGGTGCTGTAGACATAATGCTTTGAAGGGTTTATCTTTTAAAGCGGTGAAATACAAAGAGCTCTAACTGTTGACTTAAGGCTTCGTTAGTATTGCATGGATTTATTTGGCAAAGGCTTGAATGTAACATTGGCTCAGTGTTGGAAGAAGATACTTTACTTAAGCAAAATAATATGTTCTGTATCTTTTGGGTTTGGATTTGTTGGGGGGATTATCATAATTGCATGGCCGCTTTTCCAAGTACGATCATTTTTCTCTAAGTTTGTCTTGCTGTTTCCAGATGGCAATGTCTGTATCGTTACTAGAATGTTTCGATCCAAGATAATTTCCTTAAATGTATTTCATGCACATATTTGAGTGTCCAATTCTCCCTAAATCAAATTCTTCGAGGGTCTAAAGTGTCTAATTTGGCATCATATAATATACCTTTTTATTTTCATTTCAGATGAATTCAAGACGTCCTGTACTCCACTCATCATCATTGCTGTTATAGTACCTATCATTTTATGTGCAATATTTGCCTTCCTATACACGACCGGTTTCATCTCTGGTAAGTTGGAAACACTATTTTACTAACAGGAGAACCTTTGATTGTCTGCATCTGCAAAATCCCAAGTTCCCACGCTTTAACTCCTTAAGATTCCCAGATTGCATCTGATTGACAATAAAAGCCTTTTCACCAAATAAAAGTTGTTGATAAACAGCTTTTAATGAGAACGAAACACTGGTGTTAAGTTGAATTAAAAAGGCAGTAACGGTAAATTAATACAGCATATCAGGAATCATCTTCATATTGTATTTATTTTCAGTTGGAAACTGTATGTCAGTATTGTTATGTTTGAAGGACATTTTGTTGTGCTTTTATACAGTGGGGGACAACAACTGCTCTCTACGTAAGCAACACACCAAGGGGCAACAAACAGAAGAAGATGACAACGGGAAAAAACAGATTGATGAGCTTCAGAGGAACATCTCTGACCTGGAGTACAAACTTAACCAAGAGATCGAGATCAACAGCAAACAAAAAGAGGAACTGAAGGACTTTAAATCCAAGCAGAGTCCTGTGGTTTTTCATGACCAGCATACGATTGTTCACATTCCTTCCCCAGATGTCTCAAAACCCCTGAAAACTCAAAGCAAGTTTCCCGACGACGACAATCCAACACCAGCAGCTTCAACCAACAACAACCATCAAAGATCTGTCAGTTTACCCCAGAACAAAGACGTCCCAACACACATCCCTGCGTGCCCTCAGATCCAAAGAGGCAAACATAGCCACAGCAGTCCTGCTCTTTTGACCAAAAATGATGAAGTGTCCCCCAGTTCTCCTTCAGCCTCCTCTGCCTCAAAGGTTCAGCGTTCGAGGTGCATGTCCGAGTCTGAATCACGTTCAAACGGTGCCAGACCTCAACGTAGAAACACCTTCTCCTACCCATTTCCGTCCGGTAACCGCTTCTCTCCTCTGGCAAATCTACCTGAAGATGATTCCATGGCGCTGCTTGAATGAGAGCAGAGCATGTTGTGGTTTTTCTTCAGTATAGGAAGAGATCAAAACAAGTGGTCAGTGATGGAGAAAGTACTTAAAGTAAAATGAGTCGTACCACAGTGCAGAAAAGGAAAAAACATGCATTGATGATTTCACTCTAGTCAAAGTATTTTTTAAATACCAAAAATAAAAGCACTTATTGTGCATTTTTTTGGCCAAATCATATCACTATATAATATACTTACAACATTTAAATGTGGAGCTAACTTTTTTATATTTTTATACGACCAGGTGGCATAGTTCATGCCAATACATTTATTTATTATTATTAGTAAATATGGACTTTTTTTAAGTAAAAAAAGGAAATAAAAATATCCAAATTGTAGTAGAATAGAAGTATAATGTTACTTAAATAGGAAATACTTAATTAAAATACTGTTATTGGTAAATGTAGTTAGTTACTTTGGTTTGGTGGGTTTTGGCATTACAGATGTTTACAAAATGCTCTGTTCACAGGAGTCATTTATGGGTTAGGGTTACTTGTTTAATACTCAGGATTGTACACTCACTTACCTCTCTATGCTTTTATTACAGATAACATCATGTAATACGTTCAGCTAAAGATAAAGAGCACCCCCTTGTGGAGGAATCCTGATATTGCTTTTTTATTCTGCTTCATTCATTCAGAGATTTATTTGTAGATGTCCTTTCACCTCCACCTGTTTTTGAATGCTGTGAGAAAATGTCTCGTATGAATTGTTCAAATTTGTTTACTTCCATTAACCAGTTGTTTGCTTCAGACTTTACAGCCACAGTGTATTTAATAAACCATCCTGCATCTCTGCTGCCTGCTTATCATCCTCTGTAATGGGTTGTAGGAAACTGTCCTTTTAGCATTTCCTTTAAATGTCAATGTTTGTACTTAATACACTATAAAAAAGGGAACTCTGTAAATAGACTTTGGGAAGTGCAGAACATCGGGACATGACAAATATGTCTCGTTTATTTATTGATCGATCCAATTTTCTGATTGCTTTACCACATAGCCAGAGGCTGATGAGGGGTGTTTATGTGTTGTAACGAATGAGCTGTATTGTCTTGTTTAATGTTGTTTATTTAAAATGTGGAAGTAGATGTGTCTGAGGTACTAAATTATATTCTTGGATGCATAAAGTAGAGGGTTGTAAGCAAATTATAAGATGTCCATTTAGCATAAAATAAAATGATGCAAAAAAAGTTCTATATTTTGATTGTTTTCAGGTATTTAAACATGAATCTCCATGTATCGCATGAAGTGTTAATTTAAAGGTGACCTATCATGCTATATTTGAAAAATATATTGTAGGGCCATACCTATATAAATATAGTTTTTTTTCAAAACACCAAACAGATCCTGCATTTGAGCCATGCCTCATTTCGCTCTATTTGCTCCTTCCAGTGCTGTTTTTGCAGGGGGCTGATTCTGTGAGCTGCAGCTGACCACGCCCCCCTGCAGGAGAGGGGAGCGTGCTTGAGATCAGCTGATGGGCTCTCAGAAGAGGGGGAGAAAAAGAGATCTCCGTCCTCCGTGTTTTATTCTTATAGAAGTAAGAAGAGAAGTAACGGGGCAGAAACCCTCCTTTTTACGCAGCGGTCCAGACATAGACATCAAACGGCGACACATATTCAGTGTGCAGTTACTTTGGCATTAGGGCAGGGATATCTAGATACTTTCCAAAGTTTGACATCATGAAGTGTGCTACTTTTAAAGCAAGCAACGATGTTTTCAAATCTGTAATCAAAAAGCTCCTCAGAAACGCTATCGAAGCAGTTCCTGCCGTTACTACGTATTCAAACAGTAACAACGGACTATTTTTCTTAGCGGATGCATGTCAATTTAAATCAATACATACAATTGTGTGTGTGTGTGTGTGTGTGTGTGTGTGTGTGTGTGTGTGTGTGTGTGTGTTTGTGTGTGTGTGTGTGTGTGTGGTAGGGCTGAAATGTGAAGTGAGAAATGTCCAGATATTCTAATAATTCGGTCCTTAAACATTGCCAGATATCAATGCAGGACATGTGACTTAAAGGTCCAGTGGTCATAGAGTCTGGGGAGATGTGGTCTACTTTCATCTGTTTGATTTCCCCGTAATACACCTCTTACTACAGCTTTGTTTTTGTCCTCATGTGTTTCTTTACAAGGAAAGCAATATACTGTTTTGAACATGAACCAAGACAAATTCCACTAACATACCCCCTCTCCTTCCTTCCTTAACCCCCTTAAAGTAATAACAGAAAGCACAGAGGCGAGGTATTGTGAATTATTGAGAATGGATTATTGTTGGTGGTGGTTAGGGAACTGGTCAGTCTGTATAGTATACTGTAACATTATATTTTCGCTGGATGAGTATAATAACATGACATTCAAGATTTCGACCCCAAATAATACTTGAATGATATAATACCAATGAATGGAAAAACTCACTCTTACTCTGTGCCACGTAGTTTACTAGTGATTTCAAGGAATGTGAGGGTTGCCAGATAGTGCCAGTCATACAGGTTTCAAAGGGCATGTGCAACCACGACTCAGTCATATTGTGCCGTATGATTTGTACGTGGTTTGAATTCATAATATCCAAATTCTGTTAGCCTCCCCCCTATGTCTAAGACCAGTCTGCTTTGATTTTGTTTGCATGTTGGACTGGGTTGCGTGCTCTGTAATGGATACTCATTTCAGAGAGTATAGTCTCCGGGGTCAGGACAGTCAACTTGGCCTCCTCACATGAAAATCTGCATTCCTTCAAAATGCAAAAAAAACTCCTAAAAATGGCATCAGTTGAAAATAAAAGCATTAATGCTTCTTTGAGGTGTGTGGACGTTAGGAGCAATGCGCTGATGAAACACCTTCCATCATTGTTACTCGCATCTTTGAACCTTTACTCCACTTCTGCTACATCTCAGAGGCAGCTGTTGTTATACTTTTATCAGACAGCTTTGGTTACTTTGCCAATTAGTACACGCAATACAAACATCATGGAATAAGGAAGTACTGCTTTTGTAACTTTACGTTTATTTTGTATCCTTTCTTTATTTTAAGAAAAAATTGAAAAGCAAGACTTCTTGAGTAAAAGTA